TCTTCTTCTTCTTCTTCTTCTTCTTCTTCTTCTTCTTCTTCTTCTTCTTCTTCTTCTTCTTCTTCTTCTTCTACATAGTATCCCAGATACTATGTTTTGTGTCAGGAATTTTCTTAGATCAATATTTTCTTTGTGGCAGAGAGATAGCTTCCAAGGCTCCACAGTCCATGAGCCATGGACTTGGAACTCTTAGTCTCTGTGGTAATCTACAGATGATGGGGCTAGTTCCTTCGACAGTCAGTCTGCCATCAGTACATCCTTCGGAGTCTGAGTTTTCCACTGTTTAAACCTATTTGGGGCTGTATATCCAACTGTTCTCCTCTTTACAGCAGAATCCCATGGCCATCTACCTTCCAGACACTGTTGCAGGATGTACCCAAACCACCCAACATGAAGTTGTTACTGTTTGGTTTTTTTTTTTCAGCCTGCAATGTAGTTCAGCCTCAAACAGCAGCTCCCTCTCAGCATGGTAACTGACTATAATCCTCTGAGATATGGGGAGTGATGAAATGGATTGCTTTACAGTGCTGCCCTGCTACATGGGAAAAATCAGTATCAGACCAAATCCCACTAGTGTAAGGCTGGCAAGAACCATGACTTTTTCCTGTGATTAGGGTGGTGAGTCTCTTGTCCTCAGGGCTGCCAATAATCACCAGGCTTACCTGTGGCTATGGTTTCATCTACCCTTTCCCCTAGGAAGCTGTGGACTGTTTTCTAAATCATCAACCTTCTGTTTGCTCTCTTTGTAGCTTTCTTGTCACTCCTTTCTTCCCAGTTTTCATTCTCATTCTTTCTCTCCCTTCTTTCTCTCTTACCTCTGTTCTTCCTTCCCTCTCTCTTTCCTAGAGTACAATCTTTCTCTTATTATCTCAACTCTTCTCATTCACATAATTTTATGGTGTAAACTGATAATTCACTATCTTACTCCAGAAACTCTGATATATTTATAAATGTTGTCTGGAATTTTAAAATCTTTTTATTTGTGTAGATTGAAGTCTATTGAACTTGTGGGTTTGTTAAAAATTCAACTTACATGCCTAATGTCAAAAATAAAATGAAATTTTGGTCTGTCCTTAATGGTGTACTGAATGCCACATTACCTAAAGAGCAATCGTATGTCAGCTCCCCAAAATCTGGATGTAATGCCTAGCTGAAAAGGCTTATAACCAGCTTTGCTGGCTACTCCATCACAAGGAGTCACATTGAGAAATACCTAGGTATTCTCACCACACATGATGTGTTCCAGACCTTTTCACAAAGATCCATCAAGGTAGAAACAGTATCAAAGCATCAGGGACAATGGTGAAAATACGGAGCTGTCCTTCTTCTGACTCTTCAAGCCACATAGCAGATAAAATGCAGGCTTTCTATCCTACCACAGGACACACAGGTTGCTAGGGGCTTCTGGTAATGAGATGACCACAAAGTGCACTGAGCCAGCTAGTCCTGTTTCTCCATGGAGACAAGCTTCTCACCGAGATGTGGCTTGTCTGAAGTGCTGAAACTGCTCTTTCTCACTTAGTCCAGAGACAGTCTGTTCTGTTTGCTTATGGAACAGAAATAAATACAGTTCTGCAATTAGTAATTTAGGTACCCTAGAGCACAGGGAAGTTCTGTTTGCCTGACTAGTTCTTGAAGCAAATGCTCTGTAAATGTGACATCCAGAACTATGGATTATTCCAGTAGGAACCTCATTAAATTTCTTATTATTTTTATATGAGGCTAGAAAGACAAAAGAAAATGGAATAGCTTGCCTTTTGAAAAATAAATCAAATGTTTCTGTCACCATTTGTAATATTCAGTATTTATTTTGATTAATCCCAATGCTTGCCTGGCTGTTCCCTTTTGGAGGAAATGAAAACTCCACTATCTATTAATAAAACCTCCTGGGTGACTTCCAAGATGATCCTGTTATGTGGAATTCCATGCTATCCATCTTTTGAGAAAAATTAGAGTGAGTTCTGTATGAATTAAATAGAAATAGATTGGAAATACACTATGTGCTGTCATCCTGAAGCTATGCCCAAGAAAATACCCTCTTGTGGATTTATGGCTCAATCTTACAGTTCCGTGTCCTTATAAATGGTACAACTGTAACACTGGCAATGAACCTAATATGAATTGCATGTCTGTGGCAAGGTACCTGTTCCTAGTGTATTACATGTTTTATCTAATGTGATCTATAGAGCAATCACACTGTACAGGCATTGATTGATGTGGAAACTTGGACCAGAAAAGTATAAGAAATTTGTCAAGAATTACAGCTAGTAAGGGTTAGAGCTAAGACTTGAATCTAGTTTGGGGGTCAGGCAGTGCTAACTACAAAGGCCCATTGTTGGCCTCCCTTCTTTCATGACTAATAAGAGCAGTATGTGCCTAAGGCCATGAGGCAGTCTTTTCTTGAAACAAAAACATATGAACAGAGTAGCAAAAGTCATTCATAAAATATTCAAAATGACGATGTTAGGAGCAAAGCCATTCAGTGCATTAAGGGCCATCTGAAGGGTGAAATTCTTGGATTCAGGAGGTGAGTCTGGAGGTGAACAGGCTTTCTGAGATCATGAAGAGTAGCACAAGGATATGCATCTTCTTTTGCTGTTGCTTTTTCTTTCAATTGTAACTCAAAGAACAAGACACAAGTATTTTCATCAGTGAAAGCCTAACTAATGGTTTCAAGTTAATTAAGTGGATCTGCTCCAAGTTGAGTTTAGTATATAAATCCACATTCAGAAGTCTTACCATCTGGCCTGCATGTGAAAAGTAAATGGATTGGGGAGCAGAATGAAGAGTGCTGTAGAATGAAAATCAGAGAGTAGCCTTTAGTCTTAGCTACCTTGGTCTTGCAGACAGAAAAAGATGGAGAGAAAGTACACTGTAGCAAGAGTTTTGGCCACAGGGCAACATTTTCTGTGTCTTTTCTAAAATTGTTTTTTCCATTGTTGAATCAGCATCCCTTTAGCTCATTTACAATCACCATGTAACTTACCTTCATGCCCTCGGCATCACTTTCCTATCTTTTGCTCTACCCACTTCAGTGTGCTGTTGTCTGCTTCCCAGTTGCTACTTCCTCTAGTGCCATGCTTCTCAACCTTCTTAATGCTTCGATCCCTTAATACACTTCCTCATGTTGTGGTGTCCCCTCCCCCAACCATAAAATTATTTTTGTTGCTACTTCATAACTATAAATGTTGCTAGGCTTACGAATCATAATGTAAGTATCTGATATATTCAAGTGCCAAACAGGTCAGAAACCACAGGTTGAGAAGAGCTGTTCTAAAGCATGAGCATGAAAAATAGACAATGGAAACAAAATAGATATTTTCTGTCATAGATGGAAGATGTGATTGTCTTAGTTATTTTTCTATCGCTGTGATAAAACACCATGACCAAGGCAACATATAAAGAAAAGTATTTACTTAGGACTTACATTTTAGAGAGTGAGTCCATGATCATCATGGTAGAAAGCATGGCAGCAGGCAGGCGGACATGGTACAGGAGCAGTAGCTGGGAACTCCACATCTTCAGACAACTGTGAAGCAGAGAGAGCTAACTGGGAATGTTGTGAGCTTTTGAAACCTCAAAGCCTGACTCCAGTGACACACTTCCTCCAAGAAGGCCACACCTCCTAATACTTCCTAAGTTGGGGACCAGGTATTCAAATATATGAGCCTTTGGTGGCCATTCTCATTCAAACCACCACAGTGGCCAAGACAGAGCTGATAGCAGTTGACTGAAATGAGGTCTGCTGTGCCCTAATTGTATTGTACTGTTTTGTTCTATCTGTACCTCTGTTTTTCCCCATGAAGTATTAAGTTCTTGATGGTAAAAGCCAGGCTTATTTCTACATTTCTATTTCCCTGGAATGTAGTTGCATGTTTTAGACACAGAAGACATTGAAAGAAAACATGAAGGGGTGAGCGAGTAATGAATAAAGACTAAAGGAGTGAGAGAATGAGTGAGTAAAACAAGAAAATTGGCAATAGTTGTCTTTTAACCTTATTCTCCCCGGATAAACTACCCAATGTAGCTTCTGAAGAAGGTACAAGGTCATAATTCTTCACAAGCATTCTTGACATTATAAACCTATACCAACCATTCTTCTAACACGCACAGCAAAGCAACAAAACAAACAACAAAATGAAAACCCCTCTGAACGCTCAAGCAAATGGCTTAGGAGAAAGAACACAGTACATGCAGTCATTTGGTTTGTTTTTTAATGAGTAGGGCAGGGATGCTGTGTTTTACTGAGTCTCTCTCTGTGTGAGGATAATCTAATCTTGCAGCAATAGGTGCTAAAGTCGATATCAGTTCTTTCTTCAGAGACAAATAATGTCTGCGTTGAATGTTAGGTGAAATGGGGTGTTCTGTCACTGCTGTCAGTGAAGCTTCATTGCTTGTAGTTTCATTATTCCCTTAAATGAAATATCTGAATTTCTTCTGGGTTTAATGAGGCCACAGACAGCCAACTCTTTATGGAGTGACATTAGAGATTATTTTTGCTTTGAATTTGATGTATTCTAATCTGTGCTTAACTAGCCTTCCCGAGCAATTCAGGTATTCAGATGGGCATTTTAAGGACAATTAGCTAAATGTTCCTCTCATTAGCCACAGGGCCTAGAAAAAAAAAAAGAGAGAGAGAGAATCAATAAGACAAAGACAGTTTAGGAGAACATTCACCTTGCATCAAGAGTGTCAGCTACACCTCCTCTAGTTGCGTGTTCCTGACTAGGCAGCTTCTCCCACCTGGACCTTAGGGGCTACACGTTGCCACTAAATCACCTTCCTGTTGTGTTCTAGTTTTCAGGACTTTACCTCCTGTCTTTCTTCACTATCCTCATCGGGCTGGTGCTCTACTCCTCCACCTCCACGTACATAGCCCAGGATCCCCGAGTGTACAAGCAGTTCCGTAATCCTTCAGGACCTGTTGTGGACTTAGCTAGCACAGCTCAGGTGGAGCCTTCCGTCACCTACACCAGCCTGGGCCAGGAGACCGAAGAAGAGCCCCATGTACGTGTGGCCTAGGGTGAGGCCTGCCCCGCCCACTGAGGACAACCCAGAGGCCATGCGTGCACCCATCATCTCTGTATTGTACATAGAGAAAGGTATTTAGGCGGTGCAGTTTCACAGGTGGACTGCAAGGTAGCTAACCCTCCTTTTGTAAAAGGATCAAGCTGAAAATCCCTGGAGACACAGGCTTCATTCAATCCACCTGACTCAGAGAGAGGCTTTGGTAGTATGTATCCTGACCCATCCCCACCCCTGCATTAATTACTGTGAAAATTTTTGAATCAAAACCAAGTATTATTGTTACTATGATTTTTATTATTAATTGTTACTGTTATTACACGGACTTTCAGAAGAAGGATTTTTTTATTCCTGATGGAAATTGTTGCAAGACCTTCACGCAGTCAACATAAACCCCACTTTTCTAAGGCACGTCACTTTTTAAGAACCATACTTTTGTTTTGTTTGTTTTGCACAGACTATATGAGTGATGCATGCCACAGATGCCCTGCCCTTCAGAAGTTTCCTCATCCCGGTGACCTTGTGGTTCATGGTTCCCTCTGTCACCTGTTGGATTGCCTGCTCAATAAGGATTTTGTGCTGTGACCCTGTGGGGAGGGGAAACTGATCGTATAATTCTCTATTCTAGGAATAGATATAAAACAAACATTTTAGCCTTTTCGTATTTTATTTTCTGCTTATTCCAGGTCATTGGCTTTTTGTAGGGCCAGGAGAGTCATCTCATCAAGCCCCATGATTACAGGAAAAGGACTCTCCCAGTTTTGTAGCCTAAAGGAACCCTATATATAAAATCATTCATTTTTAGGGTTAGATGTTTTCCTTTTTTTTTCTGTTTTTCTCCATATCTCTCCCCTCAAAAAATTGGTTTTTCTTCTTATTTTTTTCTTAATAATGTCATGGAAATTAGTCAAGGCACTGGAAAAGCCATGATCTCTGCCCTCTTAGTTACCTATACCTTTCTGGATGTATACCACCATGGAAATTATCTTTATTGTGGAGGATCACTGTTTATGGCACCTTTGGGAGTCAAGGTACTAGTATGGAGAAATCTCTGTTAGTAGCTCATGTTCTGGTTACTTAGTAGTGATAAAGATGACACCAATGAGAAGTCTGACGTCTTGGTCACACTTGATACCCATCTAGTATAAGGATGTAAGGATAAGCATCCCTACACAGAAAGAATGCCACAGCGTCCCAGCCCAGTAAAGCTTAATATATCGCTGCTTTAATCAGTTCCACTGTCCTCAAGAATGTTTTCCCCCCTCCAAACACAGGAAATCAAGAATCACCACAGACCTTTATAATGTAAAATACATTCCACGTGTCAGCGTGGAAGTGCTCTGTAGCTTGGCTGACTTCAATACCATTCAAAGGGATCCTCGATGGAGTTACAGGGTTTGTATAAATGTTTCTGAAATTTGAGGCCATTGAAGTCAACATATGTTAAGCAAGCAAGCAAAACAAAACACCAGTGGTGGTGGTGGGCTTCTCATGAAGTAAGAACAGATCACAAAGTAGGGCCTGAATAAGGCCTAACCATGGCAGGCAGAAGGCCTCAGGCTGTCTGCCAGCAGGCACCTGAAGAGTCGTCATGACCCACTTTAATAAATCTAAGAACAACACATATACAAAATAAGTAACTCAGTTTAGAATTTTTTTCCCGTTAAAGACTATAACGTTTCCTCTAAAGTATTGTTTGGTACTGATCCAGGAGATAGAAAACAAAGTTGATAGGCAGATTTTGTACCCGTTTAGCTGCTTTGGAAACAGGTTTTTCTTTACTGGTGTGGGGTGGGAAGCGGGGAGAAAGGTTTATGCTAAAGCTACATGTTACATCATAATAACCTTGCCAACATCTGCTCTCTGCTATCTTTTAAGCCAATTAAATACCTTTCTCTGAATATTTTTGTCCATTCAGATCTGAAGACCTTTAAAGACTGTGGTTTTGTTTTTATGTTTACATTCCTTTGGTTTGCATAATTTACTTGATTTATTGCATTTTTAGTATTTATTTTAAGCCAAATGTCTTTGTCTTTTTGATTCATTTTTTTATGACACTAATTTGTAGACACTCGGTAAACCCTTAGGAGAAACAAGAGGCTAAAATTATTTCCAAGTCCATTCAGCGAGCTGGGAATATTTTTAAAATTCAATTTTGAGAAGGTTTGCAATTAACTGATGGCTGAAGGTTGCCATCTGCACCATTTTATAGGATGTTTTAATTGCCTCCATTGTATGAAAACCAAGTGTGAATATCAAGACGAACTCACTGTACACTTTTTGTCATCGGATGTCCTTGTGAACAGACACTTACACCACTGAGTTACCTCACCTGTCTTGGTTTACCTGCATTCATAAAGCCGGTAACATTGGCTTGTCCAAGACCAGGAGTTCAGGATTGATCCTTAAGGAAGAAAGACAAAAAGTAACAAAGAAAAATGTTTTCAGTATGAAAAAATCGGTGGTGTGAGAGTGGGGTGGGAAGTGGGAATAGGGTAATATTAACTGTAGCGGTTTTAGTTTCTGAGATCCTGTAACCTCAGTAGACACCAGCAAGAATTTCGTCATTTTAATCTACCACTCTTCTCTCCTCCATGAATGAGAGCAGTCCTCTGTACAAAAGTCGGTAAGAAGCAAACCATCGCTCTCTTAAACCCTGCCAGAGAGGAGTGATGGTTTCTACTGTCAATGGAAACTTGCCCTGGGGACAGAGCTTGCCTTGGTCAGACCTCCTCACTGCTTCAAACATATCCAGGTAGACCAAGCAATGGACTGCTTTGTACCACTGTGTCCCATGAAAATGTCTCAATGTTTAGTTTAGGTATTGCTAACTTGTGCTATTAACCTTTGGACAAGCTTGTAGGACTGTTTGTTTGAGCTTTATTTTGATTTGTAACCATTGGTTAGTCCCCAGCTAGCTATCAGTACAGTTTTTACCCCATGGGTAGGAGTCAATCTTCACACCACATACAAAGCACACTAATCCTGACACCACAATGGAGAATATGAACCAAAATATTAAAAAAGAAAAAGAAAAAAAAAAAAAAGAACTTTACACTGGGAAGCTGAACAAGCAATCTGCCTTTTCTACTTGCATGCTCCCCCATGGACTGGCTGTGGCTATGTAACACCTGTACAATGTTTTCAAATAAAAATAAACGCTTCACGAAAGCACCACGCTCCTGGCTCTCTCGTGTGTTTGACTGCACTACGGCAACCAGGACGCCGGCTCCCTTGAGATGCTAGGAATAGCAAAAGCAGCAGAGAACTCAGCACAAGTCAAAATAAAAAAAAAAAAAAAAAAAAAAAACCAGAGGGAAAAACAGCTCCAAATTAGGAATGGTATAGTCTCTGAGTCAGAGTTTCAAAAGGTCAAATTAAACGCATTTGTAGCTTGCTTTAGGGTACTGAAGAAGGCTGTTGGATCCAACTTTGAAGTCCACATGGAAAATCCATGCAGGATAATGAAAAGCTACCCCCTGAGCAATGGTTTCTTATGAAGAAGAAAATCCTGGGTACACAGCCCCGAGTGGAACAGCAGACCTACCCAAGAGCACTCTTCCAGGCTAGACATCTATGAAGCAGGGAGTACCCGGATTCCCGCTCAGAACTTAGAGAGAGCCTAATACTAACCTCCCCCCAGCTTCCTGCTTTCAACCTTCTCCCCATTAGGCATCCAGCGCAGACACTCACAACCAGACCTTTAAAAAATGAGTAAATCAGGATGACTATGTGTCTGAGCAATATATTCAAACCACTTTTTAAATTTTTTTTGTTGATTCTTTTCACACCACGCACCCCAGTCCCACTCATTTTCCCTGTCCTCTCATACTCGCCCTTCACCCTTGTGTCCTCCCCCACCAAAGGAAACACACAAACAAGCAAACAACAACAACAAAAACAAAGCATACAAAGCATCTCACCGTGGAAGCTGTAGCGTGTCCCAGTGTGGTAGTCTGTCCCACAGTGTGTCCCTCTGTCCACACGTCTTCACTTGCAAACGTTCATTGAAATGAGTCAATGGTCTGGTTCGAGATCTCCGGCTTCTGTGACACCATCACTACTGGGTCCTCGCTGTGACTCCTTCAGGTCATCCTGTTGTCGCCCTGTGTTATGGAGACCCTCCAGCTTTGAAACAGCAGGACTGGCCCTTTCATGTGTCCCCACCGTTCACTGATGATACAGACTTTGGGGTGGGCCACTTCAGAGCCCAGGTGGTAGCTGAGCTGTTAGCCTGGAGGTTCTCCATTATTTGTGCCACGAGGGAAAGTTCTGCAGCACTGCTCCGGCTGGGTCACCCAATGCCATCCATAGGAGACAGCGTAGCTCTCCCGTTCTCATGCCTTCAGGGCTGGCCCCCGACACTGCACCCGTGCCTACTGTACTGCCCGGTCAAAGGGCAGGGCCCGCTCTCCTAAGCGCTGCAGTGGGTGAGGGACAGGGCCAGCTCATCAGCTCTCACCACCTCAGAGTTAGTTCTCCAGATCTGTCGCAGGTGGAGGGGGGCGGGGGAGTGGCATCACTGCTGTACCCATGGCAGACAACTGGCCGAAAGGAGGCGCCAGCTCTCCCAAGCTCTCCTGCTCAGGGCTGGATAACCTGTGCGCCCTCTACCAGGCTCAGCTCTATTGTTCTGCCCAGACAAGGTGGCTGGCCTGTTCTGCGTGCTGCAGACAAGGGGGGGGACTAACTCTCCTGAGCTCATGACTCTGTGGGCATCTTTCCTGACTGCTGGAGGTAACAGGAAACAGAGGGAAAGCATCAACGCTGCGCCCATGCCACCCCCTGGCAGATGGGTGGCAGGGTCAGCTCTCCCACACCCATGCCCTCAGGGCTGGCTCATCCACACCCTGACTACCAGGACCAGCTCCACTGTGCTGCCTGAGCCAAGCACAGGGCATGCTCACAAGTGCTGCCACTGGTGAGAGATGGGCTGGCTTTCCAGAGAACCTCATCAAGTTATGCTGTTATGCACATCCCCTAGACATTGGCATGGTCCCCAAGCATCTACCTCAACCAGGGACATCTCCATGTTCTCTAGTGGCAATATGAGCCAGAGACTTCCACACCGACCCCTGCCAGTGTGTAGCCATGGACTCAGACATGGCCCTCAGTGGCAGCTCTGACTGGAACCCACCATGCTCTCAGGTAATGAGGCTGGCCACTCAAAACGGGCTAGTCTTCTTCACCCTCAAGTCTCCAGTTCCACCTCTCTTCACAATGCTCAAGCTGCTCCACTTCTCTTTCTCTTCCATCCGACCACCACATACTCACACATTGGGGTGGTTCCTGCTTCAGGCTGACAACATCCTCGATCCATGCTGTGTCAAGTGGTGGCAGGCAGGTGTTTTTGGTCTGCCTGTGCCATGTGCTTGAGAGCAGGTCTGTGAGTGGCATGGCCCACAGGTCTCTGTCTGTCTTCCTTCTCCTGTGTTGTACTGCCTGGATTTGTTTTATTTGATTTGATTTTTATGAGTTCTAGGCATAAGACAGCTTTGGCCTTCAAACCAGGCATCAAGCTAGAATGAACAAAGGACAGCCATCTACTCTGCCCCTGACTGATATAAAAACAACACCAACAACAAGGTGTCTCTTTTCCCATTGCCAGGGGGTACAAAAATATTTCTTTAATTGATTTTCCAGCAAACCGAGACAACCTCACACCAAGTGCTTTGCAAAACACTTTGCAAAGTTCAAACTAGTAGCAGGCAGTTAACATAAATAATTTGCTTCAAAAATACTTTTCCTTATTAAGCTTTCTCTGAAATACTATTTAATTTTCTTTAGCAGGCCCTTTGATCAAAGCTGAAAAGAAGTTAAACTTCAGCACAGCCCTGCATCCAGATGTCAAGCAGTTTCAAAAGATTGGGGCCAAATTATTGTAGACAATCAATGTGTGTGCTATGTTCCATCGTTTCCCCGATGAGTTATCATTTTCTTATGAGGAAGAACCTGGTTTCCTAAATTCTCAGGAGCTCCTACAACAAGATGACAAGGAAGCATTTGAATTTCATAAAAATTAGCAAAAAGGAAAACAAAATAACACTAAAATTCATAAGACAGCTGGCATTGCCTTTATGTCCCACAAGAAAATGAACTGTAATTTGTGATATAATAGCCCAACACAAATCCAGCTAATATGTTTGGTGGCCAGCAAAACACCTGGCACATGGAAGCCATTTGTACATCTTATTTTACTAGAATCTCTCCTCAGAACTATAAATACAAAGCACAAATGAAAGCAATTCTATTGCAAAGTGTTACCTGGCATTCTTCTCTTTTTAACATGTTTTTTTTGTAATTATTATTATTCTTGTAAAGTTCTCCTTCTTGGAATTGAAAAATAACCAGCATGTCCACTCAAGTTCCTGCTTCTAGGGAACTTAAAAAATTATTTACAATGTTTAAAGTCTATGTTTGGGGCTGAGGTAGGAAACATTAGAATTCTTTTCTTTCAAATAGCATTTTATGTTTATACCATGCCTTCTTAATTGTGCATACCAATCATATTTTTATTATTCATTTTTTTTTATATTTCAGCCCCTCTCTTTCTCATATCTGCAACCAGACGGCTCACCAGGAGACATATACAAAGGGTTTTAACTCTTCATTTTCTATGTGATTAACTTTAATTAAAAAGATAAACTTTAATTAAAAAAAATCTACATGCCTGGAGAGATGGCTCAGTGGTTAAGAGCACTGTCTGCGCTTCCAGAGGTCCTGAGTTTAATTCCTTACAACCACATGGTGGCTTACAACCATCTATAATATGATCTGGCATGCCCTTTTCTGGTATGCAGGTGTACATACAGATAGAGAATTCATATACATAAAGTAAATGAAGAAATTAAAAAAAAAAAAAAAACTATGTCAACTGGACAGCTCTGCCCCTTCCAGGTAACTGGTATTGGGACCTAGAGGACAAGACATTGAGTATCACGCTTCAGACAGCTAAACAAGTCTAACACAGCAGTATCCAAACACAGCAGTATCCTGATGAAGAACAAGACCAACAAATGGTCCGAGGGAGCAGGTCTTTTGGAATAGGCTACAGAAATTACCACCATCCATCTGGATGGACAAAGTGCTAGTGTAAGCAAGAAATAAAGTCCATAAAAACATGAAAATGAGCTTGTTCATCAAGAGTCAGCAATAGAACGAGAGCAATTCCATAAACTAAAAGATAAATTCACAATAGGAAAGATAAATACTACTTTACATAAAGAAAAGCAATCTTCCTGAACTCATTATCTCGAACTGATGATACAAGTTAAAATGCATCACCTATAGACACACATTCTGAAAGAGAGTAAAGCAGGCTGAGCATGTGATTCATTACACAGTCCATTAACAGTTTCAACACAAAGGCAGACATTGATAATTGTATACAGACAACAGGTGCAGCAGACCTGCTCTGTGCCAATCAACCTGAGAATATAGTCACCCTGACTTGAAAGACATAATCTGGATCATCCCTACCCACGGTTAGCTGGCAGGACAGCGCATAGTCACGTCTTCCTGCCACTAGATGGCACTGAGTCAGAATAGGAGGACAAAGCTACCCACCTGCCTGCCATGATAAGCTGTTTAGTGAGTTCTCAGTGCTCTCAGCCTTGTGCATGTCTCCTGTGACTGATCACAGCTGCTGAACGTTCATGAGAGCAACTGCCATGTCTTGCCTGTAAATAGAGATTCATAACAAATATAAAACATCTTACTGCCATTGGACCTAGCTCTTAGTATGGATTCTGAAAGAAATCCTGTTTTCTACAATGTGATCCTGGAGAGCACCTCCTGCCTGGGCTTCCATCTAATCATTCAGGTATCTGTGGTCAAGCATGGTAGAAAAAAGGGAGGAGTCCCAATGGGCACTGTCACAAACGTCATCAGTACTGATTCACTGCGCAAGTGTGAGCCTAGAAGAGGAGGTTCTATTTGGGTTATTCAGAAGCAAATGAAGGCAGAGACTGACAGGCCCACACACTTCAAAAAGTGAGGATTGGTGGATGAGTTTGTGTGGAAATGACTGTATGCTCCATGTGGGAAAGAAGTTTACATTTCCCAAACTACGCGCACAAATGCTCTTACAGGGATTTCAGGCTTGAGATGGAGGCGTGGAATGACAATACCTACTTTCTGTAAGGGCTGAAGGTTGTCTGTGTGCCTTGCTTGGCCATGTCTCTGTAGGCGGGAATTACGTCTATGGTACCTGAAGAG